GGAGGCAGGCTTCGGACAGGCCACAGAGAGGCCGCAACAGGCCTGCCAGCTGGCGAGGCCTCGGACAGGCCTTTTGGAAGTGCTTGGAAGGGTTCTGCTAGGCTTGGCCAACTGCTTCATCCTGCGCCTTTGGAAGTGCTTGGAAGGGTTCTGCTAGGCTTGGCCAACTGCTTCACCCTGCGGTGTCCCAGGCGCCTCCCCGCCTAGGCTTTGGCTATAGGCCGGGGTCGGCGGATATTCCAAGGAAACTCGTCCAAAGATTTTGCCTCTGGGTGTATCCCCATGCGCTTGCGCTCCTCATTGCTTCAACATGTTGGCTGCTTGAGATTGGAGGAACGAGCAAAAAGGCCTGCGCGTCGTGCGCTGGACCAAATGAAGCAACAACTGAGATTGAAACATGGCAGCCTGCCCCGTCGAAGCCTGAAATTTGCGCTTCATTGCGCTGCGTTTTGAATTTCGAAGTCAGGTGCTTGGAAAACCGTCCATGGGAGTGCCATCAAAGATGTCGGCCCGACTCTGGATTTGCCTCCATGCTTGCTACCTGTTGGCCCTGGCACAACCAAGGGCGTGATGGACGGTTGCGATTTTTTGAGCATGTCCTGGCTTTAGTTTGACAGTCACGATGCACATGCAACCCACCCCACACACAGAACAAAGGGTTTTCTGTTGGCTACAAATTGTGTGCGCGCGCAAGGTCGGCATGGACAGTAGACAGGCTGCTCTGGCCTTGCGCTTACGACAAGCCATCGAATTGACTACTGTTTACTTGCAGTCGCCCTTTTGAAATCAGTGACCAAAGGGCGTCCACGCAGCTCAAGTAAGGCGTGGGAATTGGTGCCCAAGATCGACGAAAAGTTGTCGTTAGCGCAGCAGCGAGCTGAGCGTTTGAACTGTCATCGCATGCCAGCGCTGCCACTCTTCTTTTTCAATCTTGTCAGGGCAAAATGCTTGGGACCTTTGGGTAGACGTTTGTGACAAGAAGAATCATGGGCAAGGGCCAGCCAGGGATAGTGACAGGTTTGAGCCTCGTGTCGGGCAAGACTTTGAGGCTGTGGAACAAAGAGCAACATGGGCCGTCTCAATGTCTATATAGAGACATAAAAAAAAGGATAACGCAAGGAAGAATATTAGCAAAACAAAGTATTGTTGTTTTCTTTTTCATTCTTGTGCCTTCGCTGCCTTTCCTTCCATCGTAGGCATTGCGACAAAAGATCAAAGAGCGCTACGGTAGCAACATCGCCATGATGAACGAGGTGTTTGGAATCATTTAGAGCAGGTGTTGGGGTGATCTCATGAATGCAAGTTCATCAGCTCTGCAACACTGATTGGATTGCCCCTTGTTTGTTGCTCTTGCAGTTTGCAAAGACCCCATCAAGAAATGAGTGATGTAAGCTCCAGCTTGGACTTCCTGCACCATTGTTTTGTGTCCCGTTGTCCAGCTGGACGATGGAAGCGGTTCAATGGACTTTCAGCGGTTCTTTGGCTGCACATTAACCATGAGGAGGTCTCATGTTTTGCGCATTTTTTGTTTGCGCGCGTGCGTGTGTGTGCGTGTGTGTGTCCGTCAACCCCTGTTCCAAAGGGTCCTGTGCTTTTGTTTCCGATACCACTGCAGGGGGGCAGAGAGGACTTGCAAAGCTGTGCCCAACGAAGCTCTTTGCAAGATCCTAGGAAGCGGAAGCTGATCACTTCCGTGTACCTGCTACCGAAACGTTTGCTCAAGCTGTTCCAATCTCGGTTTGTTTCATGGTGGTTTCTGCATGCTATCTCCCAAAACCCTTTCCTGCAGCATTCTACAGCCGCCGATCGCCGTTTGCACTTGAGCACCCTGTGAAACACTTGTTCAACAATACTGTTTTGCTGACGCATGCGCCTTCCCGTTCCCTCACCTTCCTTCTCGACGTGGGATTTTCTGTCTACGGAACCTTTCACTTCACCCTCGGTCTCCACAAGTCCCCCCAGACGCTCTCGTTCCCCTTCTTCTTTCGTCCTCCACACCGCTCCTTCCTCAGCAACAGAGCGCTCACGCTCAACAGATGCGCGCAACTACACGCAGCTCGCTGCCGATGTTGCTGCCCTGCCGCCGGCTGCCGACCGCCAGAGCACACCTGACGCTACCAGGGTCAGCCACTTGAGCAACCACGAGGCTAACACAGCACCGTGATCAAGTTTCACCATTCGTTTCGTTTTTGTTGCGAGTCAAAACCAGTTTCAGCTTGCATTGCATCGGACTTCAATGCACATTCCTTCAGGTCCTCCTTGAATTTTACTCAATCCATTTTCGTTCGACTGACCACTCCTGTTGTTCCCTCACCTTACACCTTTCACAACGCAGCCGTATGCCATTGAACTTGATATCGGCCCTTCTTGCGCTTTTGTCACGCTGCCACATCATGGCCTCCGATCACTCCGCAGCTGCCAGCGACACAGAGCTCAATCCTGACACGCACCAGCTATCAGCCCGGCTCCACACCCACCCCTACTGCTGCCTTCACACAACACACTCACCCTCAGCCCAATCAGCCATTATGTCTTCCTGGAAATGGCCCCATCCACCTCGCACCATCCATTACTCACCAACCTGAACTCCTGCTTCTAAGCCGGATGTTTGATAGCCTCTTCCTGCTGGTCACCCACATCCTGGACCATCCGATGGCCGATGGACCTCTACCGGATCCCAACATGTTCGTGGACGACAACGCCTACCGGCTCTTTCACCAATTCCATCATAGTTTGGTGGACCTAGGGAGAGCCACCCTACGCCTGACGCGAGCTCGACGACTCCTCCAATTCCTACCAGGCCCTCCATATCTACCCGGCCAATACCGCATGGATCCCACCGCTTACTTTCCACCACACACCGCCGACTTCCTCTCCACAGCGCCCACCACTCCACCGCAGTCCCCAGCTCGATCTCACCGACACTCCAGCTTTCCCTCTTCTTCTTTCCTCTCAACAGCCACCACGACCACCAGAGAACGCTCACGCCCACGAGACAGGCCTCCATCCATGCATTTTCCTTCACACAATACTGCTGCTGAGCCGCGGTCTTTTGGCGCCAACAATTCACTTGGCGAGGCAGGCCACAGCCATTTGCATACTACAGGCGGACCATGATCAAAGAGTCAGTTTCACCCCTCCAAGGTTTTTTGCAGCGCAGATGAAAATTTGCTCCTCACCATTTACTGTTTCAGTTCTTGTTGTTTTCCATGCTCTTGACCTCTCACCAATTTTACATTCCATAACGGTTTTCTCGATTTCTTTCAGCAGCATTTTCGGGGCTTCAAGCATTCTTAGTGATCAATTCCTGGCTGGCCAGTGTTGCTATGACTACAGAACCGTCCGCCTCACCACCGACTTCCATGACGCCAATGACACTTGAGCCCTCATCCATTACCAGGGAATCCGCTTCCCTACTTAGCCATACCGAATGGATCCATCAGCCAGCTTCCCACCCTCCGCCACAAACAACTTCCTCTCTACACCACCTTCGGCACCTAGGTGCATCCCTACACCTTCTCCTCCACAACACAGCCTTATCAACCACCTGATTTCCCGCGACCGTTCACGTTCCCGAGACAGGCAACCTGCCAACACCACTCGGCATCACCACACAATCCCAATCTCTGCGCAAGAGCCGGCCAGCCACTTTCAGACATCACACCGTCCTGCAGCCACCGCAGTCACCTTCACCAATCCCTATGGACAGCAACAACGACACCTTCCAACTCGACATCCTCCTTGGCTTCAGCATCCTGGACTACGACACCACAACGCGAGTCCACAGGTCATCCACACTAGCCCCCTACGTTTCACAACCATTTTGGCTCGTACTTTTTGAACCCGTGAAAAAAAATCTCCCCACCGCCTTTGCGCACCTTTTCCTTTTCACTTTTGTCTCATGTTCCAGGTCACTAGTCTATCCACAGCCCTTGCCAATTTTCCGCAGCTGTTTAAGTTGCTCTGTGTTCCTGCGGCCACAATCTTCTGCCTTACCCATGGATCTCGAGTCACCGGACTGGGACCGCAGCCCATCCCTCCTAGAGGAAGCCAAAGAAGATCCGTACACCACACCAGTGGTCAAACAGGAAGACATCAAACTTGAAGACGTCAAACTTCAAGACGTAAAACACGAGGACACGACATCTACAGCACTTGTCCTCAGCACACCGCAGGCATCCACGACTCCTATATGCTACCACCACCACCACCGAAGACACCGCCTATTTTACCCCCACCTTACCGCAATCTCTCTACACGCACCACAACCTCTACTCTGCCACAACCCCGCGCAGCCACAAAACACGCCGGCAGCAAACGACCTCCACCACGACCCCCACCTTCCACCTCCTCATCCACCAGCAGCGAGGACCCGGTCATCCTCACCACCAACGTTCCGATACTACAGAAATCACAGACTCGCACTTGCACCACCGCAACTCGCACCACACGCTCTTTTTCCACCACTTCCTCCGATTCCTAACCTCCACCTCACTGACCAACAAGCCAACAACCTGACAGACGCTATTCTACGGATTGCCCGCAGCGCAGCTGAAGCGGCCGCCGCGAACATGACCATGCTATGAGCGCTTGCAGCCAGTGAACAGCCATACTCTTTTGTTTGACCATTTACCACAGACGCTAGCATACCACAGACAGCTGCAAGGAAAAATCTCCTTATGTTTTCAACCCGCCTTCTCTCGAGCAGATCATTGGATCACATCCTATCCTCTTGTTAGGTTTTTTCGCCGGGAATTTTAGACAGTTTTTAGGCAACTTTTCTCCACCATTTTCACCTTTTCACCGCAGTCTCTTTGTCATGACATGTTGGATCCACTGCAGCAATTTCAAACGAGTCGCAGCTCCACCCTTGTTACATTTCGATTCTCAGCTATGGCATCCCAGCAGCCACCTGACGAGGGAAGTGACACTTCATTCTGGGCATCGGTCTTCACAGAAGAACCCCCCAACGTCCTACGCGGAGTTCTCACAGATTTGAATCTCCACCGTTTTACTCTACACCAACACCTCACGACCAACGAATCCCTCACCGAAACACCTTTGCTACATCAGCCTTTCCAAGAGGCCCTCCCACCACCACTTCAACGCCATGACCAGCACTATCACACCAACCTCAACCTTCAACGGGCCCTGCACGCCCTTGACCAGTTGGGACGCCAGCCACCCAGTGCCTACCTCCGGAACCCTGACCTAGCAACAGGGGACCACACAACTCCCACCCAGGCACCATTCCCAACATCCAGCGGTCTACAGCCTGGCGAACCTGTTCAACTTCCACCTGCAGTTCGCCACCGCCTACCCGCCCTCCCCACCCGGACCTTGGTCCTTCAGCATACTTCCACACAGACTACACCTACGCACTTCACCACCCATCGAACCCAACAGACTGACACTATCATCACCACTCTCACTTTTGATGAGGAACAGCAGACCACCCCACGACCACACAGCTGCCACACTCCTACCCAGACCGACATCCATGCCATTGTCAGCTACCCCTCATTCGCCGCCCCCAAAGCCGTCACAGCTGGCAGCACCTCGCCACTATACCTTCCACCCCACCACAGCCCACAGTTACCCCACCCAACATTACCTCCGCTGCCAACAAACAACCCAATCCAGACATTTGGCAGTACGCCGAGTTGATTCCGACACCGGCGGTGGAAAATCCCCCACCGCCCGCACTCCCTTCAGACTTCACGGCTCCAATCGGTGGCACGCCCCGCCGGGCACGCTCCAAAACGCCCCCGCGGTCCAGCACACCGCAAAGAACGCGATTCACCCAAGGACGCCACCCTGATCCGCGTTGCGGATCCCCAGTGCCAACATCCCGTTCTACCACTTTTCTTCCACCACAGCAACCCACGCAATCAGCACCAGCTGCTTTTGGACAACCGAAGCGTCCTCCACCGCCTCTTCCACAGCAACAGACGGCCACCGCACCCCCAAACTGGTGGCCTACAACACCTCCTCCAACCCAGGCCCCCTATCCATGTCCTGCTCCACAAGCCACCTACAGCCCTGTCACTCACCCATGGCCCGCACATTATCAACCGCAACAGCCCCTCAGCAATCACAACCACCACCAATGTATCAACAACCCATCTTCTGCGGCGAACCTGCACCAACACACCAGGTCTACCAAGCACCACCACCGACATCCTCCGAGCCAGTCCGAGCCCTTTATGATTCCGATGGCAGGCCTTTGCCGCCAGGACAACAGCCCTACTTTCCTGAAGACAACCCTTGGAACAACTATCAACGCTGATTTGCCTGAGCCGGCCAATACGGCCAACCATTTGTAGTTGTTTTGTCGTTTCTGTCCACTGTTCATTGTTCATGCGTTCTTTTTCTCTTCATGTGGCCTGCCATCACGATTTCCCACCTTTCGAACTTGTATGCTACCCAGCCATATTGTGGACTTGTTCTTTTGCTGCGACCATTGGCGGTTTCACCATGCACCACGAAAAAACCTGTGCAGCGGAGTCTGTGACGGGCATTCACCCTCTGAAGTGCAACATGACATTTATCAAGCAACAGTTGCAGACACCGTTCTACTTTACAGCTTGTAACTTTGAGTTTCATTTACTTTTACATGTTCATCGATCTTGTTTCAGTTGACTGCGTCCTCACCGCCAAACGTCCTGCCTCCCACTCCTTCTTCTTTGCCAGAGACTTCGACATCATGGACGCGCAGCGGCAACAATTTTACTGGCAACATTATTTGCTGCAACAGCAACAGCAGCAAACGGCACACCAAGGCCAGACCAGCCACCAGTACACTCCTACAGGCACATACGGCCCTATGACCCACTCCGTTCGCACTCAACAGGCCCACCACAACCACCCGTACACTCCACCTCCTTCCTCTTCACAGCCAGCACACACTCCCTCACCTTCTACCAACCAGCCGTTCCCACCACCACCTCCACCGCCATGATCCGGTTTTGAGTGTCCCCCAACATCAACAAGAACGGTTACAACGTGTCTTTCGCGGACGTCTGCGTCGGACTTCCCGTTCCTACCACCCGATCCGACTCCGTGATCTTCCCTCACTGGTCGAACACCTTCTGGCTACTTCCTACTTCACGGCGGGACACACTGTCTTCAAACAATGTCAAGCAAGGCGCATCGATGGGCTGTCCTTTGGCCCCTGCTCTCTGCAGTGCCATTGCCCTGTTTCAGGAACATGGCTTCCTGACGGCTTTTCCCTCTTACTCCTGGCGTTACGCCACTGGTTTAGCCCTGCGAGCGCGGCGGGGTTCTTCACTCGCGGGATCTTGATTTGTCGCATGGCCCGTCCTCGCACGGTCATCACCCCACAGTTGATCGACCTCGTGCAACAGTACTGGGGCAAAGGCTTTGCTATGAAACAACTTCTTCCTCTTCTACATCAACTCTGTCCCCGGTTTCACTTGCCTCGAGCCCAACTACATTCTCAACGCAGATTTCTCACCCTCTTTGACGATGCAGACTGTAGCGATTCCTCGGCCTAAAACAGACAGTGAATTTTCATCTCGTATTGTTCTCTCACTTGTTCATCGACCTTCTTCTTGGTCGATTCTCACTCATTTCCAGCGCGCGTTTTCTTCGTTGACAGAGACTTGTTTCCTCCCCCCACTCCTCCTCCAACGACTACTTGCCACGGACGCCGCCTCCACCACGTGAGCCTGCATCTCTGAGAGCAATTTCCTTTCACCCGGCTTCAGCACCTATGGACTATCCCCGGGCAGGAACAAAGACGGACCTATAAATGTCGTAACCTTGCATTTGTCCTCCAATTTCTCCTCCAATCACACCTCCTCCTTTTCGAATATTATCTCCGGATTTATTGATGTTTCCTGCCTTCTTTTCAAAGGTTCCTTTTCCATTTCAGATTCATTTCCTACTTGGTTTCCTCTTGTAGCTTTCGGCTTAATTCCTGCTGACTCTCCTTCCCTCTTCGTCCTCACGTGATGCCAGCCACTGATGCATCCGGTTGTCCTTGAGGTTCTACCACCTCCTGATCCGCTGCGGTTACTACCTCGCCGCTACCCGACATACCCGACCATCTATTGCGCCTTACCTACGGGATCCAGACGAACCGGAGATCGTTTCCACTTCCTTCCCGAAGAAGGCACGCCCTACGACTCCTCCGCCTACATTGCAGCAACTTGGGCTTTCGACTTTCTCCGACAACATCCTCGCGACGTCATCGACCTTTTCGCCAACTACATGTATTCACCCTCTCTGGAACTCTTCGGTCATTTGATCAAGCCTACTGGAGAACTCATACGGTACGTTTCCGGATCCCACGACCTAATTTACCTTTCCAACTACGGAAACTTAACTCGGTTTCACCCGTTGACTCACATGATGACTCGCCAAAACTCTACTCTGCACTCTCCGCCGCTTTTTCTGATCTTTTTTCTTTCCTGTTCTCATGATATATGGTTCACAGACTCCTCCCTTGTTCTTGACATACATCTGCAGCCATTTGAGCATTCACACTTTCTGCAAATTCTCATCTCGTTGTGATGGGCACTACCTCTACGGATGCTCCCCTCGACATCCAGGACACCACGGACCACTCCATCACGGTGCCCATTGTCACCCCTGGCTTCGCCCGTACTTCGGTTTCTAGCGGCACTGGAGATGGCCGTTGAAAGCACTGAGGGCCGGTTTCCCTCCCGCCGGCCCCTTTGGACGCGCCGCACTTTGGGCGGAAATCGGCATTGGTTCTATCGTTGTTGGTTTCACTCCAGCACGATTCCTTGGGATCATGACATGGTTCCTTATTTTCGACAAACTCGTGACCACATTCTGGACCGCCATCCTTCCACCAATTACGACGACTTTCACTATTGTGTTTGGTTCACTCCGCTTTGGCCAGCCAGCCTAATTATTTGGGAAGCCTGCAACCACTTTGAGACCCAACTGGCAATCAACACTCCCAGTTCTGAGTCAGCTTCCATGTCCTTGACATCTTCATGACCCCTCCACGCTCCTCGGCCTTGCACGAGAATGCTGATCGCACGCCGCACGGCTTACTGAGATCGCATTCCAGCACGAATTCTCGCATGCGGCTAAGTAGTCACATGTACACGGACACGTCACGTTGCTAGGTAGTCACAGGCCGGAGTGCTAAGTAATCACTTTTCCGGTTCTTTCCTTCCTGATGTCGCTCTTCGTTTTCTAGGTTTTTTTCGTTTTCTAGAGGCTTTTTAGGTGTAACTGATGCCTTTTAGTCAAGCGAGCGCCGATGACGGCTTCATTTGCCAATGCCTTCGGGCCAGTGCTTTCCACCCCAACCCCACCCCACACCCCTGCATCCTTTCTTTCCTTGCCTTTTTTCGCTTGTTTGGATTTTTCTTCAGGCTTGTTAGGTCGGCGTTTAGGCTCGTTTGGTCAATGCGCGCCCTGCCCGCACCCCTGCACCCCCTTGCACCTTTCCCCCCTCCCCGCGGATAAAAAGGAGCGTGCGCTGATTTCCGGCCTTTTGTGTGTGCGTCCACACCTGTACCAAAGGCAAACAGGCAGGGGATGGAGACACGTGTATTGCTTCTCCAGCAACGAAGCTGGCAATACACGGTGAGGATATCAGCTCCACACGCGGAGCTGACGTACCTGCTGATGACAATACTCCACTTTTCATCGCTGTGCTTTGGTTCCATGATCCTTGCATGATAGACCCCAAAACTGCCCCTTATCCTACCGCTTTGCAGCTGCGCCGTTTGTCCAGATAGTTGAAACACATTGTTGAAACACTTTCAAATCTGCTGACTCAGCCACCAGTCCGTTACAGCATCCTTTTTTCAGTTCCATCGAGTCAAGGACTAATGCGTGTAAAGTGGAACTTCAACTGATTTAGCTCTTGCGAGTTGCGAGCATCAATCTAAGTGTGTTCGTATGTTTATACTGTAAACAACTCGTTGTATATACTGTATATATGATATATATGTATATCATATTTTTAAACTGCTACTTACATTTGGATTGCAGGCTTTGGGGCGCAATTGGGTGTTGTGTGGCTGTCAGGTTTCTCGAACTGTGCTACGAGTGCCAGTTTAGAGGGAATGAGTTCCCGCCTGAAATTGTTTTCAATTGCTTTGCTTGTCGCGTGCTTATGACAAGTCTTTGTCGTGCTTACCATCCTTTCTATGCGAGGCGTCGTGTTTTTGAATACCTTGAGGAGGATGCGCAGTTTCAAGAGTCTTAAGTGATCTTCAGTGAATCAATGGGTGGATTAACGAAGTTGAAGTTCTTCTTGGCGAACCGGTTGACTCGATTGTCAACCATTGCCTCCGACAGGATGAAACCATTGACTTTGAAAGGATTGATGAGAAGGCACTGCAAAGTGGCTGAGCAGAGCAACATTGCTTTGTAACAGGGAGCCTGGCTGAATGTCATGACGGTCGCTTCAGGCAGCCAAAGAGTTGCAAGAACAAAAGGCACAGGCTGGCGGCTAGTGAACAGATAGTGTTCAAGCGACAGATGCAGATTGATGGAGAGGTTCCGGGGTACAATCAGTTCTCCTGAGATTGCCGGTCAGTTGACCAAACTCAAGACCCAGCTAGTCCTGGCACAAGGCAAAACGAAGAGAGGAAGAGGAGCGGCGGAAGATGCGAAGGAAAAAGGCTGAAAGAAAGGCTAAGAAAGCGAAGACGAAGGTTTGGCCTTCAAAAGCCTTGTGTTTTCTTGAGGTTTTGAGGTTTCTTTTCTTTTTTGTCCTGCTGCCTCTTTTGAGTGATGTGCATGTGCAGGCTTCAGTATTGCGATGCCTTTCAGTGCTGTGCAGGCGCCTGAACCTGATCCTTCAGAGCCCGAAGAGCAGGCCAAGGGCACTTGGACATTCGCATTGGCTCCACCCTGCTAGAACTGTTTGGATCTCGACCCAGGCTTCCTTGCAGGAAGAGGAACCTCCGAAGGTGAAGCCAGAGGACAGCACCTCAGAGCAAGTTTCATGCAAACAGGAGGGGAGTCTTCCGAAGGAATTTTGGAGATGTGAAATTATGTGAAAGTGTTTCTCAAATTCTGAAGGTACACCGTCCTAAAGCCCCAACAGGCAAGTCAAGCACACGCACTGTCCGGAAAAACTGGCAGATCTACCACAGCATCTAGTTTCACACGAGTGATTTTGTGCCCATTTTCTGTGTGCAGTGTAACTGTGTAACTGTCTTATTCCACGCTAAAATGTGATGCACCGCAAGGCCTGGGACACCTTTGTTTGGCAATGAAGCCACCCCAGGCAGCCTTTGGCACACAGCAGATCAAGGATTTGTACATCCTCAACTGCGTAAACACGAAAGCACATAATATAATATATATATACTTATACATGCCGCATCGTATTTCCCCAATAGCCATGCTATGGGGTCTTGCAAAACTAATAGGCGGACGGGCGCCGTCGGGTCACCGTCAGAGCTGGTGGGCGGATGGTGTCCCGGTCATGTTTTGATGGCGTCCGGGTCATGTGATGCTGGTGTCCCGGTCATGTTTTGATGGTGTCCCGATCATGTTTTGATTGTGACCCAGTCATGCTGTGATGGTGTCCCGGTCCTGTTTTGATGGTGTCCCGGTCATGTTTTGATGGTGTCCCGGTCATGTTGTGATGGTGGCCTGGTCATGTTTTGATGGTGTCCCGGTCGTGTTGTGATGGTGTCCCGGTCATGTTTTGATGGTGTCCCGGTCATGTGATGGTGTCCCGGTCATGTTTTGATGGTGTCCCGGTCGTGTTGTGACGGTGTCCCGGTCATGTTTTGATGGTGTCCCGATCATGTGATGGTGGCGCGGTCATGTTGTGATGGTGTCCCGAGCATGTTTTGATTGTGTCCCAGTCATGTTGTGATGGTGTCCCGGTCCTGTTTTGATGGTGTCCCGGTCATGTTTTGATGGTGTCCCGGTCATGTTGCGATGGTGTCCCGGTCATGTTTTGATGGTGTCCCGGTCGTGTTGTGACGGTGTACCGGTCATGTTTTGATGGTGTCCCGGTCCTGTTGTGATGGTGTCCTGGTCATGTTTTGGCGGTGTGCCGGTTGTGTTTTGATGGTGTCCGGGTCATGTGACGGTGTCCCGGTCATGTTGTGATGGTGTCCTGGTCATCTTGTGATGGTTTTCCCGTCATGTCATGTTGGTGTCCCGGTCACCTTGTGATGGTGTCCCGGTCATGTTGTGATTGTGTCCCAGTCATGTTGTGACGGTGTCCCAGTCATGTTGTGATGGTGTCTCGCTCATGTTGTGACGGTGTCCCGGTCATGTTTTGATGGTGTCCCGGTCATGTTGTGATGGTGTCCTGGTCATGCTTTGGCGGTGTGCCGGTTATGTTTTGATGGTGTCCGGGTCATGTGACGGTGTCCCGGTCATGTTGTGATAGTGTCCCAGTCATGTTGTGATGGTGTCCCCGTCATGTCATGCTGGTGTCCCGGTCACCTTGTGACGGTGTCCCGGTTATGTTGTGATGGTGTTCCAATCATGTTGTGACGGTGTCTCGGTCATGTTTTGATGGTGCCCTGGTCATGTTGTGATAGTGTCCCGGTCATGTTGTGATGATGTCCCCGTCATGTCATGCTGGTGTCCCGGTCACCTTGTGATGGTGTCCCGGTTATGTTGTGATGGTGTCCCAATCATGTTGTGACGGTGTCTCGGTCATGTTTTGATGGTGCCCTGGTCATTTTGTGATGGTGTCCCGGTTATGTGATGATGGTGTCCAAGGAAGAGATGGTCGATGTGTTGAAAACAGCAGCTGTTTCCAGATTTTTCTTTTTGTCCCGGTTTGTATCTTGCTATTGGGGTCTCCAGCTGGGCTAATTGTTTCTTTGGTTCCTTCCAGGTTCCAGTTGCTCATATGCAAGCACGGAATCTTTTTTGCTGCCAATTTGTAGGGGGAGGGCACCAATGTACATGTACATAGAGATTCACACGCTTATGGATATGCCGTTATTAGGCTATCCACTGTCCTTGCACCGCCGGAATCACCGCGAGTTTTTGAACTGTTGGTGAGATGCCTTTGACTTGCCCGGCCCTTACCCGCAGCAGATGTGGTCAGGTAAAGCTGGGCAAGACAAGTTCCTTGCCTTCACTACGAATTGTGCGCTCCCAATGGAATGTGCAAGCCTTGGCCAAACAAAAAACATCTCGCGAGATATCACACGCCGGAGTTTCAAAGCCCAGGACCGTCACCACATAGACCTTGCCTCAGTGCAACTACTGCTTGAAGCTGTCCTGGTGGCCCTTTGTAGTGGTATGCTTCCACCTCATGTGCATTGCTATCATCAAGGGTTGGATACAGGCAAGCGCTGTGTATGTACTCCTGGGAAAAAGAAACATTTTGTTTAAAACAAATAAACAGATTTTCCGATTCAATTCCATGTTAGTACCAGGGTGCAAAAGTGCATTAGTGCATTTTTATGCGTTCCTTCTTTCTGCAAGCAGTCTAACCTCCGGTTGAAAACCGTGTGTGGCAATGGAATCAATCAGATGGACCATTTGCCCCTAGAATTCTGGGTGCCCCGCCCTCGGTTCATATTAGTTTTGCGAGCCTGAAACTCAAACCAAGATGATCCAGAGGCCATCTGAGGGAGTAGCACGGGCGTAAATCATGTTCCATGTTTAATTTGCAGGGTGTCTCAATCCTGCCTGTCCACCCAAAAAGTTGCAATGCCAATTCCCTGGGAGTTGCGGTGAAACGAATTCCATGTTTAAATATGCCGAAACTAGTTTTTCGTTCTGTGATTTTCACCGGTGTGTAGTTATATATATATACAATTACATATATAGATGGATACATAGGTAGATAGATAGATAGGTAACGTTACGTTACGTTACGTTATGTTACGTTATATAACATTGGCTTCTTGCCTTGTGATGTTGGGTTGCTCTTGCAAACCAGTGCAAAAGAGCATGCGCTTTGACCATTGAATTTTCCATACCATGCTTCTTCTTTCTGTGCGGCTGGATCTCGTAATGGCGTAGCAACAGCACAGTATATAAATATATAAACGGAAAGTTTTCAGAAGTCCAGTTTCGACAGCAAATAATCCTTCTACTTTCCATCAGCTTTGGGACAGCACGTCAAGTCAGATCGTTGCTGTGTGCACATGATACGAAGTGTCGAAGTGCCTAGAATTGACAGTTTTTGGTGGACACTGAGTTCATCAGGCGGACAGGCGGATGAGTTTTGTGAAGCATTGAACTGTTCTTTTGCAGCGAGAGATTTGAGGCCGATCACATTGGCAATCGCGACATGAACCTCATTCATGTGCTGACGAGCGTAGACACCAAGGACCTCAAGAAGGGCGACGAGCGATCACAACTCTCAAAGCTTCACATGCACAAACTCAAGAAGTTTTATGAAGTTTTATTTTTGCTGGAAGCAACAGTAGTACTCTGACAAGGGATCACAATCTGCACATACTCCGTAGGAAAACGAAGGCTAGAATGCTCAAGCACCATACAGTTACGGTAACCGGGTAGAAACTAAATGTCTGCTGAAGTTGGGCGCTGATGAGGAGCAGGAAAAGTGCATAGCTCGGGTAAGGAGGAAGATTGCTGAGGCATTGTGGTTCGCTTCCTTTCGTTGCTTTTGTTGTTATTGCGACTCAGCACCGAAACGAAATGAGAAGTAAACAGTTTGAATATGTTGAAACACTTTCAGACACTGATCCTAATCCTATTGAAATGCGTCAACCTGTCCATGAGATGAAGGTGTTGCATAAGAAATGTCTATGGTCTTGAAGGTCTTGCTTGGTGTTGTTGTCACTGCTGCTAGATTCCTGGCCAAGGTTTGAGCTTCTCATTGTAGCCGGTCAAGACCAAACAAGAGACGAGCAGAGTCAGAGTGAGTGTATATGGTACTCAATGGACGCTTGCCAATAAGCTTAAACTGAGCTTCATGCCAATCGATATTCTATTGGGTCGGCAGTACGCAAGCTTGCCGCAGAACCCGACCATGGCCTGGTATGAGGAGCAGTTGAGGTTGGAGGAGGCTGGAAAGAGTACAGTCCAAGTGTACTGAAAGGAACTGAAGTGGTCGGGCAGGAGCGAAATGCTCAAATCTGGGCACCGGATTCTGATGAAGGAGAAGGTGAGGAAGAGGACAGCTCAAACTGAAGTTCACGAAAGATACTCAGATCTATTTGATACCTGTAGACTACGTATATAAATGACTCTGCCTTTGCCTGGGTTGAGTGATTTGTGGTTGCTTTATTTGGAAAAAAATACAATGTTTGTGACCAAAAAACTTGAGCTTGGTCCTTGGTTGTTGAACAAGAGGACATTTGAGTCTTTTGCAGAGGCAACCAGCGGGGCTACAAGCAACAAAACTGACAAACAACAGTTCTCCAATAATACCAAATCATAACATATGGATTGTGCATACATTATATAAATGGCCAAGATATGCTTACGCCAACAACGGGGCAGCAGGGAGGAAGGAGGAAGGGAAAGGAAGAAAGGGAAGCGGAGGATGAGAATGCAAAGGTCAGGTTTTCTTTTCGTGTACGTCTTCTTCTTGATTCTTGATGGCCTCAATGTAGCCGTTCTCCCGAAGTCACTGCCATTGTGTACTCTAAGAAATCGGCTTGAGGCACCACGTTGTCTTGAGCTGTGGGTCAACGGGCGACACTGGCGGGAATCCGTTGGTGGCGATTCCTCAGGAGGGACCGGTGCAGCATCGGAGTCAACCTCCGAGGGCATTGACATCACCTCAATAATCCTCCATAGCATCTTTCTCTTCATTCTCTTCTTATTCACCTTTCCAAGACCCTCTTTGCTCCTTCTTTTCTTTCAGATAACCAGCCTGAGATGAATTGCGCCCTTTCTTCAAAGGGTCTGTCAAAGCTCGACCCTGTCGACAGCCCGTGCTCATCAGGAATTTGACTTCGGCGACGTGGCCAAGCTTGGAATTGAAACACGTGAAGCAAAATTAAGCAAAAATACACCACAATGCAGAAATGAATTGCATCCAAGTTTATGGACTTCCGGCCAGGAGCCCCTAGTAAAGACCTTGCTCCTAGTAGTAAAGCCAAGAGCCCCTAGTAGCGTCCTTGCTCCTAGTAGTAAGGCCAGGAGCCCTAGCAGCGTCCTTGCTCCTAGTAGTAAGGCCAGGAGCCCCTAGTAGCGTACGCCACAATGCAGATATGAATTGCAGCCAAGTTTATGGACCGTCCTTGCTGCTAGTAGTAAAGCCAGGAGCCCTAGCAGCGTCCTTGCTCCTAGTAATACGGCCAGAAGCCCCTAGCAGCGTCCTTGCTCCTAGTAGTAAGGCCAGGAGCCCCT